TATAAGTTAATCAGCTGTCATAATCATAGAATCAGAGATATTTGAAATGGAAAATATAATTAGTAAAGTAATTACTACCTTTCATTCCAAGATCTCAAAACCCTTTACTAGTTTTCCTTGGTGTCCTGCTACCTGTCCTTTAGAGAAGAATGTTTTTACCTTTCATGTGAGGGCTTTATTCCTCACCTTGGACTCAGATTTTATGGTGTCATTTAATGAAGATGTGAATGGCAGTGAAAAGGGGGAAATTGTATAAATAAGGCAGCAGTTCTGATTAGTTTCTTGTTTAAGTCATAGCCTTCAGTTGTTGAGATTCAAGGAGAAGCACACATCAGAGGCGGAAGAGGCCTGTTAGATAACCCACCAGAGGTTCTCAACCAGAGGTAGACTGTGTGTCCATCTCAGCACCCATTTGTAATGGAGATTTTTATTTGGTTGTCACAATAACTAAAGGTTATTACTAATACTGGAGAGAGCAGAGGTTATAAATATTTATAATGCAGCTGATGGTCCATTATATCAAGAATTGTCCTGTCCCAAATACCAACACTATCCCAGGTTAGAAACACTAATTTCAAAGCAGTCCAAAAAAATGGAGATCTAGAAATATTACTTGAATCTCTTTTATTGAATTGCCTTGTTTTGTTTTGGACTTTTTTTTTCTTCTATATCTGTCTTATATACACTTTTCTCTAAATAAGGGCATGGAATTAATTTTGCTAATGAATAACATTTTTTGCCCAAAGTATTTCACTAAGTTAGCTGCTATTCTAGTCCAACTTGTGTTATTTGATTCAGTGTAACAAAATGTAATTTAGAATCTGCTCTGTGTAGGGGGCACTGCGATGTGTTCTTTAGAGATTATAAAGATGAGTGAGGTGAGGTTTTTGCCTTCAGGACCTCAAGCTATCCAGATGAGAGATAGACGCTTGTCCAGCTACCAGGATATAAGTCAGAGACTCTCTAATTGGGTTAAACATGCTATGTAAGTATAAAGAGACTATCAGCCAGTTCAAGGTAGAGGAATCTGAGAAAGCTTCATGTAGGAGGTGGCTCTTGAGCTGTGATTTAGCAAATGAAAGGTAAGGGAAGAAAAGCAGTTGAAGAGGGCATTCTAGGCATGAAAACGCTGGGGGGGGGGTGAGGGGGGATAATGAAGGCATAGAAGTAGAAAAGATGTGTCCAGGCACATTTAGTTATCTGGTATGATGAATGGGGAGAGGCTAGAGGGGGAAAGACCAGTTGGGAAGTCATTGCATTGGGGTAAAGGGAGAAGTGAGTGGAAAAGAGCATGTAAAGGGACTTCTGAGGTGCCAAGTAAAAGTTCCCTTTCTTCATCTGAATGATAGTTACAAGGATATTTGCCTCACAATAGTTGATTAAGGCATGTATTTGTTTCATGTGGTCTTTCTGTTTTAGTGTTTCATTTTCCAATAAAAATGGGTTTTTGCTTTTAAAGTCACCTCAGTGGTTCCAGAGAAGGGGAAAGAGACAGTCCAGGCCTGATGAGAGTGGGAAATGGTGAGCAAATATGGGGGCCATTCCAGAGAAAGAACTGTATGTGGGAAGGAAAGAAAACAGAGGAGTAGTAAGAGATAGCAGATAGATATCTGAAAACATCAATTTTATCTTCTTTTTTAAAAAAATATATTTTAATGGCTATGTAATTCTAGGTTGACTTTTTTTTCCCCTTTCTGCACTTTAAAGCACTACGCTGTCTTCTGATTTGCATATTTCTCACAAGAAATATGTTGTCATCCTTATCTTTATTTGTATATAATGTGTCTTTTTTTTCCCCCTCTAGGTTCTTCTCAGATTTTCTCTTTATCAATGCTTTTGGACAATTTGATTAGATTATTATGTGCCTTGTAGTTTGTGTCTGTGTGTTTCTTGTGCTTGGAGTTTATTGGAATTTCTTGATCTGTGGATTAATAGTTTTCATTAAATTTGGAAATATTTCCACCATTATTTCTTCAAATATTTTTCTGCCTCCTTCTCTCTTCTGTACTTTGGGGACTCCAATTATACATGTATTAGACCACTTAAATTTGCCCCACACCTCACTCATTGATGCTCTTTTTATTTCTATTCTTTTTTCCTCTCTGTATTTCATTTTGAATACTTTGTATTGCTTTGTCTTCAAGTTTACTAATCTTTCCTTCTATGATATCTAATGTATTTTTGTTGTTAATCCCATCTAATATATTTTTCCTCTCAGACGCTGTAGTTTTCATCTTTAAAAGTTTAATCTGGGATATTAAAAATATCTTTCTTAACTCTATTCAACTTTTTAAATAAAATGAATACCATTATCATAACTATATTAATGCCTTTGTCTGCTAATTCTGATATCTGTGTAAGGTTTAGATGTGTTCAATTGTTTGATTTATCTCCTTATTATGAGTGGTATTATTTCAAATATTTGCATGTCTGGTAATCTTTGATTGTATGCCAGGTGTTTTAAATTTTACCTTATTGGCATCTGAATGTTTTTGTACTCCTGTAAATGTTTTTGAGTTCTGTTCTGGGACACAGTCATTTTGAAATCATTCAATCATTTTTGGTCTTGCTTTTAAGATTTGTTAGGCAGAAGCAGAGGAGCATTTCATCTAGGGCTAATTATTCCCCACTACTGAGACAAGACCCAGCCGAGGACTCTACTCAGTGCCCTGTGTATTATAAGGTTTTCTAGTCTGGCTGTGGGAACAGGTACTATTCCTGACCAGTTCCCTCCAACCCTCTCAGATGGTTCTTTCCGCATCTTTAAGTAGTTTCCTCATATACGTGTACCAATCAGTACTCTGCAGATACTCCAGGGGCACTATCCACAGATCTTCGGAATTCACTTTCCTACCTGGTACTCTGTACTGGGAACTGTAACTGCCTTGGTTTCCTCAGACTCTCAGCTCCATCTCTTTGGTTCAGGGAGACCATCTGGTCCCACCTTAGTTCTCCCTCCCTGTGCTGTGGCCTGGAAACTCTCTCAAGGCAGTCACATGGGGAATGGTAAGCCTCACTTCATTTTTGCCTCCTCTCTCAAGGATGGCTATCTTCATTTTGCTCATTTTACTCATTTTTTAGTGTCTTAAAAACCATTGTCCTATGTATTTTGTGTAGTTTGGGGGGGGGCGGAGGTTTGCTTCAGGCGGTAGGGTAAGTGAGGTCCTTGTTACTCTATCCTTGCGAAATGCAGAAATCCTCAGAAAGCCTTTTACTTGGCCTCGATGTCTGGCTATAATACACATTCTATTCAGAGGACAACTTAATATAGAAACCTCTATTTCTTGAGTGCCTTTTATGTGCCAGACACTATGCTAGGTACATTTACACATTTAGCCCAATCTACGTATTGCTAATATGTTCATATAATATATTTATTGAACAACTGTTATGTGTCAGGGACTGTTCTCGGTAATGAAAATACATCATGGTACAAAACAGATTTTTAAAATCCCTGTCCCTGTGGTGCTGATGTTCTACTGGAGAAAGAGAGAATAAATTAATAATTTAGTTATATAGCACACTGAAGGGTAATAACTGCTATAAAAAATGAAGAGCATGTTAAGGGGTTCAAGAGTACTGGAGTGGAAATGAACGACTGCAGTTTTAAGTAGAATAATCAGGGTAGGTGTCCCTGAAAAGGTACAACATTTGAGCAAAGACTTGAAGGAGGTGAGGGAATGAGTCTTGGGGAATAGCTGGAAGGAGAGCATTCACACAGAGGAAGCAGCCAGTTTAAAGACCCTAAGGCAGAAGCATGCATGCCTGATGTACTCAAGAAATCATAAGAAGACCATGTTGCTAGAGCAAAAAGCACCAGGGAGAGTAATAGGAGATGAGGTCAGCATGGTAACTGGATTGAACAGGGTGTTACAGGTCATTGTAAGGACTGGGTTTTACTCTGAGTGAAGAAAGGAGCCATTACAAGGGAGTAAGTAGAGAAGTCTCATGATGCGATGTATGTCTTAAAAGGGTTATTCTGGCTGCTCTCTTGAGTAGAGATTGTAGGGTGATGGGTGGAAGTAGGGAGACCGTTTAGGTGACTATGAAATAATTTAGATGAGAGGTGATGGTAGTTTTTTCCGGGGAGGGAGCAGTGGAGATAGAGAAAAGTTGGATTTTTGATATATTTCAAGGGTAGGACTAACTGCATTTCCTGGCAATGTGGGCCAAGATTTTTGGCCTGAGCAACTGGAAAGATGGAATTAATTGACAAGATGAAAAAGACTGTGAATGAAATGAATTTGGGGAAGAATTCAATATTAGACACATTAGGTTTGAGATGTCTGTTAGACATCCAAGTGGAAATATTAAAATAGGAAGTTGGATATATGAATCTGGAGTTCATAGGAGAGTTCCAAGCAGATAGATTAAGTAAGATGAGGACTAAGAACTGACCTAAATTGAGAAATGTGGAGATTTTGGTGAGTTTAAGACCTGATCCCCTTTTGGAGACTAAGTATCAGGGTAAGTGAATTTTAAAATGTGCCTAAAACCTGAGAACTACTAAACGAAAATTGGCTTTTCTTCCATCTTGCCAAATTGATTATTTCATAAATAAGAAATGCAACTGACATGCCAGGCAATGTGGATATACACTAAGTTCCTCACCATTTATTTTTATAAATTTTATTCTAGTCAGATGGGGAATACATTGATTTTAATATATACCTCATTGATGTTAAGAGTCCAGACTCATTCTAATGATTATGGTAAAGATACTTTTCTCTAGTTCACCTCCAAAAACCTATAAAAACTAGCAAAACTTTAACTATGTATTTAAATAGAGAATTCTTTCTAGTCTAGATTTGAAGACTAAATAAAATATAGAACAGAGTTACATTCCGAGTTTTTTTATTATACCTTTTTAAATAATTTGTATATACCTTTTAAATAATTTCAAGTGGCACACACACAAAAAAAATAATGTTAATAGCTCAAAATCAAAAGTAAAAAAAAAACAACCCAAGTATAATTTTAAAAATCTTTTTCTTTTCAAGCGTTTTACGATGGGATAATGAGACAGATGTCTCTCAACTGGAAGGACATTTTGACATAGTTATGTGTGCTGACTGGTAAGTACATAAAAATCATAAAACTGTTAGAAAAAATAGCTTTGCTGGAGTAATTGGGCTGTGCTGCTTTGCTGACGGCTAAGCAAAGTCAACAAATGAAGCACAAAGCCACCTTAACCTCAACAAATTAATATTCATCTCCATGTGACAGTTAGAAGGTAGTCTTCTATCACACAGTAACTTCTACCACATTATTTCCCAAAGATTGATTTTGAGAAGCATTTCCATTTTCTGGAATTGCCTCTGTTTCATGCTTGACGTATCAGTAAATGGACGACTTAGGCAAATTGCAAATAATTATGGCTCAGAGAGGAATAGTCTGGAGAAAAAGGAGTTTATCAACACAAACAGCTCAATTAGCTTACTTCTTAGGAGAGATCTGACTATTGATATAAGGGAATATATGTATGTGTGCACACATATATATGCTCCAGCAAATAAACATATCTGTGGAATATCTTTAGGGAAATAGCTTCTCTCAAAATGTATGTTTGCTAATATTTCCCGTGTATTCAATTATGATATTTAATTATGCATACCCTAAAAATTATAAAATTACATTTTATTGTTATGCAAATAATAATATTAAAATCTCTGTAATATTTTTACAAATAATTCACATATTTGGTCTTCTCTTTTAGCCCAATCTACTTATTGCTAATGAAAGCCTGACCCTAAGTTACAAGATAAATATTGGGTTGTCGGAAAAGTCGTGACGCATTTTTGCAACGAAAAACAGAAAATGTTTATGTATCAAGCCTCAATAATGATTTCAACTAATCTTATATATTTTCTTCATGCCTGTTGAATAATTATTTCAGCATATGGGAAACATTGACAATTCACAAGTATTTTCCCTGTAAGCTCTTATTTGTATTTTTATCATGATGTTTTTTAATGATACTTTAGATTTGAAAACACAAGTTCAAGTTCTGAAGAACTTCTATTATGTTGATAAACCCAATCGAAAGATCAAGAACAGGGAGAAGACTTCCTATCAGGGAGTTGAATGAATGGAATGAAATTTTCAGGAACTCTTTATTAGTAGTATTATTATTAATTATTATTATTAAATACGCTTTTCAATGGGTAACTTTTCTACCTAAATCAATGAAATTAGACTTGCTTTCTTTTTTTCTTCTGAAAAACACTTCAAATATTTTGTCTTATTTTTAGCTGAGGTTTTCTAGTTTTCCATGGCCCTTTTAGTCTCTTGGAACCCAATTTCAGAAAACCTATTCCCAGAAAGGGAGAAACAGATTCCTGATTAATCGTTGATATTGTCTCTCAATGTTACACCCCTCATCTAATCAAAAATAAGGAACTAAAACCTCAGCATATGATGTAAGCAAGTAATTTAAGTAAATGCCTTTCCACCCCAAATATGAAAAGGGTCCTCCAAGTTTCACTGCACAGATGAAGATAATGCTGCTGGGATTAGATCAGATTAAGCATGAAGGTCAGATCAGGGAGCAGCGGAACGAGGGAAGGAGGGCAGCAGCTCCTTGGAGGTTTACACGAGGGTCGCACATGGACGGGCTCTGATTATGTGCGGAAAGTCAGGTCGGGCTAAGAGAGTTAAGAATTAAATTTGTCCTTTGCACAGATATCAAAACAGTCTGGCTGTGTCATACCTTGTGTAATGGACCCTCACACCATGTCATCCTATTTGTACCAGAGAGACAAGCAGAGGAAGTAAGATTTAAGCTCTTCTCTGATTAATGTTCTCAGGTTAAAAATAGCCACACAACATGTTTGAAAAATAGTCCTTTTTCCCTAGCCAACAACAAGGTCACGTACAACTGATATACATAATGCATATTCAGTTAAGGCTTTCATTACAAATACGTAACATATAATACAATGTGTATACACACCACACACACACATATCCAGTGGCTATGTGAGAATTTATGAATTCAAATGAACTAAATATACCAAGTTTCATTTTATAAATGGCTTTTCTATGCATGAATTAAGGTGGTTGGTTTTTTTTTTCCTAGTCTTCTAAGTGCCAGAATGTCAGCCTGTTTATAATTTGCCATTTGTAAATGTGAAACATTAAGCTACTCTCACTGCAGTGCTGATATTATTTCCAAAAGAAATGCTTTGGTAATGGTGTCTCTTCATATTCACAGGGACGGGTAAGCTGCTTAGAAACTTAGAAAGTACAGTGAGGTTTATAATCTGCATGTTGTGCATATAGCAGGGAAGCCCAGGGTTCCATGAGTTCTTTATGTCCTGTTGGTTTGATGTTTCCCTATCAGAGTCACTGCCTGGGTGTGGCTTTTAGGGGCAGGCAGGCAGGCACACCATGCTGGGTTTTTTGTTTGTTTGTTTGTTTGTTTGTTTGTTTGTTTGTTTGTTTAGAATGTCACAGAGGAGGAAGAGAAAGCTCCCTTTAGACACTACCTCCAAGATGAAACCTGAAATACTCTGTGCCAAAAATAGGTGCCACACATAAATAGATCAGGTTAAGTCTCACACCATCCTTTAGTCATTGTCAGTCAATGAGATCTGGATGAGGCCACAGGAATATGAAGCAAGAGTTGCAGTTCAAATATTAGGTACATGGATTAAATTCGTACGGAAGCATTTCCAGCAAGGGTGGCATTGTCTGATTCCCTGAATAGGTAACCAGTGGTGCTGCTTGATCCCATTTACATGAAAACAAGCCCTATTCACAGACCTGTTCCAAACCCACACTGTGGTTCAAGGAAAATGCACATGATTACAACAAGCGGTGATACGTTTGTGTTCTCAAATCATTCATATATTCATATATTTACATTCAAACATTCATAAACCTGTGAGCAATGGGGGGAAATAACTTATTTCCCAGAAGAGACAGTCCCTTGGTTCACATCTAAATTATTAGCTCAGCTAGATTATAAAATAAAAAGGCAAACTGTGAAAGCTAGTCATTACTTCACCATTCAGCATTTTTGACAATGAAATATAGTTTCATGGTTCAACAGTTCCTAAATAACATGTAAAATGTCAACTTGGAAATAAACACAAGGAAAAATTGAGGTACAGCCACACCTGCAAAAGGATGCTGTTGACAAACATCAAAATATTAGAATATTTAACCACAGGTGTAGGAAAAAAATACAAAAACCTTCCTATTAAGTTTCTTGGTTGAGTTGTTTAATGTTGAATTTAATGTAAGAGTTCCTTTCTGCTGGGATGTAGACCAGCCCAGTCCTTGCAGAGTTTAGACTAGTGAGTGATTGCTAATTTTAAGCCTGCTTTTCCAGACTCCTGTTCAATCAGTTATCTAAGAGTCTGGAAGTAAGGTTGTTGGTTTTTGTTTTTTTGTGTTTTTTCTTTTTTAATCAAATGAACGCTTTCATTCCGTGTTTGATGGCTTTCCAGTTTATTGTAGCAATGCGAAAATGAAAATGATTCTGTACATTTGAATTCTCTAAAGGCTTGGAAAGCAAATCTGAAATGCCACCCATAAGCCTGACGCATGGAGCTAGGTATGTAGGACAGTCAGCACTGTATCTGCATGCCTGCAGCCTGAGACTGGAAAGAAATGGGGCGAGGTACATCACCTCACTTGCTCTCTCAGCATTCCTACTATGTATGGTTGGTTGTTTCTATTTTCATCATTTTTTATTTTACTAGCAATGATGAAAAAGTTTGGGTTTTAAAGTGTTTTTGTGAAAAAAAAAATTTTTCTTCCTCAAAATAGGCTCTAGAATTTCTTTGTTTTCTTCCAGATGCTGTGATCGCGGATAATTATTCTAAATCACAGCTCACAGACCTTTACACCTGAAAAGATCTTTAACCCACCTGTACTCAGCCCTTTCACCTCCTGAGGAAACTCAGGCACAAAGAAGATATACAAAATGCCAAAGATCTTGCTATCTATGGGCAGAGCCAAATGAGATCAGAATATGGCATCCGTGCCAGCTCCCACAACAATCAATTGATAACTACTGATAGAGGCCATTCTTCCGCTGAAAGTTAATCTGAAACAGTGAATTTAACTTAGCCCATTGCACCTTGAAAATTACATAGAGGTCTTCCTTTCTGTGGAAAGTGACAGAGAAATGCCTCCTTGTTCTCTGCACTACTTAATTACCCTATGAGAGGTGTTGTAAATGCTCAGTGCTCTGCATAAAACTCTGATTCTAAGGGAGGTGACGAAAATGGCCCTGCACCTTTTTTCTTTGTCATAAAATCTGTGATTCAGATCAATAGAACAAAGCAAGTGTTGATTCCACAAGTGAAATATACAGGGCGTGTGTGTGTGTGTGTGTGTGTGTGTGTGTGTGTGTGTGTGTTTTAATGGCCAAACTAGACGGACGGTCAATGTCTTTTGATCAGTAACTGAAGGGAGAGTTGAAACAGTATCTCCATCCCAATCGCTGACCCACTCAGCCTTTTTTAATAGATCCACTTAAGCTACTTCTGTTCTCTGAGCCCATTAGGACTTATTTAAGGGGTGAATTTTCAGGAGATTATATATCACTCCTACTAAAGCACATTGAAATTGCTCGCATGATGTATCCTATAAAGTGTTATAAATTCTGCATCAGGGCCAAGGAGAAAGGTGAGCTTGCGTGGAATAAAGACCTATTAGAGAACCACAATGATTACTTTTGGGAAATCTGATGTGGAGTGATGGAATAGACAACACTATCTTTCAAATAACCGTTTGGAATGTGTCCTGTGTGTTAAGCTGCATTTTCTAGGAAGCTGTGATGTTAATATGTGTATCACCATCACCAACGTTAAGTAGAAATAGTATTTTATAAGGTTATGTTTTAAACACAGCTTTGAAGATGCTGTTTATTTATTCTAACAATCTTACCAGCTCTTAGGCTGCACAGGTTTAAACTGAGCATGGTTTGTGTTTTTCTTGTTTTTTTAAGATTTTTATTGGGGAATTAGGGGTTGGGAACAGCGCTGGGGAATTGGAGGAAGGGGAACAGACAAGTTGCTGTCCTTTTGTTCTTCAGTCTAGTTGTGGAGGACGTTGCTTCACTGGCCCAAGTTGGCACCATCATTGCGCTCTTCCCGGGCGAGGCAGATCAGTCGCCGGCTTCTGGACGGCCGCTCACTGCGGCTGCTGGCCGCTCATGCTGGCTGCTGGCTACATACGGTAGCCCATGGCAGCCCACTGCAGCAGGGGCTGCAGCCTACATGGTGCAGGCGACTCACGGCAGCCCAGCTCCAGGTTGAGCTGTTGTTCAGCATCTTAGCTGTAGAGGGCAGTGTCACTGGCCCTCACATATGGGATCCGAACCAGGACCCTCTGGCGTTCCAAGCCAGCTCTTAACCAACGCACCACTTGGCTGGCCCCCTGAGCATGGTTTTATGCTTAATCTATTATCCCAACCAGCCAGAGCTCAAATAGGCCTGAGTACATGACAGAGACATTTTCTCACAATGATAGTCTTCTTAAAAAGCAAAACCAGAAAGCTTAATTATTAAAGCTTTAGAATATTATTATCTCCCTAAAAAATAGGTACATAGTCCTGAAGAGAAAAAATGTAAAACACTTAGATACAGTTTGATTTTTTTTTTCTTTTTAAATTTTATTGGGGAACAGCCACGGTCATTGGTTACACATTGCTTTCATGCTACAATGGCATAGTTGATTCTTTTTAAGGAGGGTGCAGCTCACAGGGGCCCATGCAGAGATCAAACCGGCAACTTTGGTGCTATCAGCACCACGCTCTAACCAACAGAGCTAACTGGTCACCCCCTGATTCTTTCTTATCAATCCTTAATGGTTATTAATTGCTGATAAATATGACTTAAAGGCAAATTGTTATAGCATTTGAATTAGACACATTCTGTGCTCTAAGGTTTAAGTATGTTTTTGTATGGAATGATAAAATTTTCCTGTGGGTAATAATCAGGCTATCCTGATTGGTGGATGGAATGAGATAAGTAAGGGTCCCATTCTAGACATGATTCCTAGCTCATCTGAAAAGTGTTCTTTTTTCCGTTGCCTAAAACATCCTTTGGTAGAAGAACCTTCTCTCATGTCATGGTGAAACCCAAGTACTGACTTCTTGGAAACTTCTCATAAATGTCTCTCCCCATTCCTCCTTCTCAAATGAAAGAATTGGCAGAGAACCTAGTCTGGTGAAACTACCTAAATGTTGATTCTTCCTTTATAATACCAGTAAAGGAATGTGTGCAGCCTATTTTAGGACCATTGAAACTAACACCCTACATAAGCACCTCAATTTTAAGGACTGTGTTGATCTGCCAGCCAGGCAGCAAGCAAACATTTATTGAGTCCCTTCTGTGTGTGTACACTGTGCTAGAACAAGTGATGCATAAGCGAATACAGACTGGAAGCTCCTTGAGGATGGGAACTTGGTCTTATTCATAGCTTATCTCTAATGCCTAAAACAGCACCTAGCATGTAGTAGGTGATCAACAAATACTTGTCAACTAACATATATTATGAATTTGATCCCCACCACAGCCACATAGGTGGGCCTTTATTGACAAAGGAACAGAGGCCTCATGTGAAGTGACTTGCCCAAGGTGACAGAGCTCTATTAAACCATGAACTACACTCCCCCCTTGCCTGCAGCGTGGCTCCACACAGCAGCCCTCCTACCAACAGCTGATACTTATCTGTATCACCTTCTCGCTCTGAGAAGGAGGAGGCAGGGCCCTAGAATAGGCGGTACTTACTCGTGCTATGTGAGAAGTGGGGAGGCCAAGTCAGAAGGGCCTGCACCAAAGTGCAGCATTAGAAATGGGAATAGGGGCCCCCGCTGAGGCCCATCATGGGATGCTAGCCTGCAAGCCCCAGATAAGGAAACTCTGTCATAAGCTTCCAAGTTAAAGCCTGGAAAAAACAGGGTCAGACTGACCCAGCCAAAGGGGTGACAGAGCAGCAACAGAAATTCTCAAAAGACCAGAGGATAAAAAAGACAGACAGTGAAGTAGAAAAAACCAACATGAAGATCAAGGGAGAAAAATTCAGAGTTGCCCAGGTCTCCATGACACAGAGCCTAAATCTTGTCTTTGTTTTTGGAGCCACTTAGTCTTAGGTCACTGGTTGAATCTAACCTCAGTGCTGTCCCTAGTCACTAAAAACCATCAGCACCTGAGGTCTGCTCTGTGGTTTGGGTGTAATAGGGCTGGTGGCTTGTTTATGGAGGGTGGCCTTACAGCAGCCTTGGTGGGCAGAGGGCCCAGGTCTACAGAGACTAAGCTCCAGTGACAGGAAGCTGGAACCCCAAATAGCAGCTTCGAAATTGTTCCTTTAACATTAACACACATTTCTGTCGTGTGTGTATCCTGGCCCACTGCCTGTTGACGGCTTGGCTTTGGTTGGAGACTACTGACCTCAATATCTTCTTTTTCCCAGTAAGACACTTGAATAGAAGGAAACAATTTCTCTTTTTTCGTATTGAGTAAACATGTGTAATTAGCCCTGTACTTATCGCCATTAGTATCATCAAGCTGGAAACCCCAGTTTAATCTGGATTCTGCTCTCTTCTCAATGTCAGCCTGTTTCTGGACCAGTACAGAGCCAGCCTTGTTGATGCAATCAAGAGATTACTTCAGCCCAGGGTAAGTATGTTTCTGTTTTCTCCTGAACACTGGCTTCCGAATAATTAGTCTGCGCACAAAGATGGAGAGAGTAATGGAATGGCAGGATTAATGTCATGTAATACTTTAATACTTATTATGTCCAACTTCAATTGGGTCTTCTGATCTATCAGATTCTTCCCTAATCATAACTAGGAAACTTCTTACCCTTGGCCTTCTGATAAGGAACACAGTGGGTAGTAAAATAAATGAAACCGCTTCAAAGATAGTGTGAGATTATTTTTATCAAAGAATTTCTTGAGTCTTTTCCTTTGATAGCAGTATCTTCATATTAAAGTAGAAGTACGATATTGAAAGTTTTCTGTTGACTTCTGTCATTTTTAAATCCTTTCAATGGTAACCTTTGTCATTGGGTGTTTATTTATTGCAAAAGAACATTTTTCTCTCTCTCTATTTCTGTTTATATGAAAGAAAAAGGACTTCAGATGAATCTGCGTATTAAAAGTTCTTTGCTTTAAAAGGAAGCCATTATTTACATATTATAAACATTAGGTCACAATGAAGCCAAGCATGGCATAAAATATTGTGCACGTTTTTACATTTATATATCCATTTATGCCTGTGAGTAAATTACAGAGTTTGTATCCACTCTTATTTTGTTGGGCTGTTATACTAAGCTAGGAGGTCCTGCAGCCTAAACGGAGAGTTAATATACGTCTATTTAAAGTAAGAAAACGAGTTTAAAGCTCATGCATTTAAAAAAAAAAATCTTATGAGTATGTAAGACTCTTGCTGTGCCATAGGAATTTAAAATAGGTTAACAATGTCAATGCAGTCTAAGACAGGAACTCACATTTATTTGAGAAAGGACTTTAGAGTGAGTATGTGTGTGTGTGTGCACGCGTGCATGTGTGCATTTAACATACTTTCTTAAGTTTTGTTTCTAAAGACTTTTTAAAACAAGGGTTTGCTCTTGTCTTGCTGACCTCGGTGAGACTTATAGACTAATACCTTTCAATCTTTCTTTTATATCTCTTTCACAAGTTGAAAGTTCCCAGAGCAATTTGATAATCATCCTTTGCCTTACACTGTTGCTTTTTATTTTGTTATCTCTCTATAGCTCAGAAACTTTAAATAGGCCTCTCAGAGGAGTAACCACAGCTTTGTAAGTGGTAATCAATTAAGTTAAATTGGCCTCCTCAATTCCCTCTGTGAGGTGGGTAGTAAGTCTTGAGGCAAGGAAGGAGCATGTGGCAAGCTATTGATGGTTGCTGTCATGGTCAGTGAGCAGCCCAAGCTGAGGGTAGAATAAGAAATTGGGAGGGGGGGGGTCTCTTCATCCCTGCCTGTGAAACTTGGGTGATTCTTGTGAGTACTTTGAAGATCATGATTTTCAGAGAGGGTACTGAGATTCTTGGATGTAAAGTCCTCTATGAAAATGTATCATCATACATAAATGCAATGCTTTCAAGGACTCCTGGATCTCACACCGAACAAACAGTACTTCACTCATCACCAACACCCCTTCAAAGCCTATTTGTGGCAAATACTTCAATTTTTTTGCAGCCGATTTGCATGATTTACCCAGAATCTATTGTAAATCATGAGAATCATGAGAATGATTTACAATAGAAAACTGCCCAAGCTATGAATAGACCTAAATGCAGATTGGGCTGGAATCCTCAGAAGCTCTCCTGTACCCTCTATTACACCCTGAACCGTACTCCCCCCTGGCCTGAAGTGTGGCTCCACACTGCAGCCCCCTCTGAGCAAAGACAGCCGCCCTCCTACTGACAGCTGATACTCACCCTTAGCTCTGAGAAGGCCAGTACTTACTCATGCTTTGTGAGGAGTGGGGAGGCCAAATCGGAGGGGCCCGCACCAAACTGCAGCACTAAAAATAGGAGTAGGGGGCCTTGCTTAGGCCCTGCATGGGAGGCATGATACACAAGGTTTCCAGGCATTCTGTCCTAAGGGATAAGAGACCCACCGTCAGGGGGAAATCCACGCGGTGGATGGCACGTGGGCATAAGAAAATTACCACCCAGGAGTCTCATCCCTATCAAGAGGTCTTGGGAAGCAGAGTGCTTGCACTGCCTGGACACCCACCCAGGTGGACTCTAGAAGGGTCAGGTAGACTTGGCAGTGACCAGCTGCTCCAGATCCTGTGCCAGTGGGCTGGTAGGTTTCCCAGAGCGTGGGGGTATCCAGAGGAAAAATTGAACTCTCCTTAGCTCCCAGAGCTTTTATGCTTCCTGCTGAGTGAATGTGTTGTGGAAGTCTCAGTCCAAGACTAAGATAATGGTAAAGGTTTTATCCCAATACAGTTAGAGCTGCTTTTCATGTTTTCTTGAGCCCAGACAACTCCTCCATGGTTTTGTGGCCCAAAGGCTAATGGTGCCACAAGAGGCTCACAGAGAAACAACTTGGGGCTGTGCTGGTGGGTCCAGAGCCCTTGGTAATTCAAGGCTCAGCAAATTCAATGGGAAATACAAGAAGTTCTCAGGGTGCGCAGCAGAACCTGCACTTGCGACAAACACTTCAGATTCCCAGGAGCGCCCCGAAACTAGAGTGTAGTGGGTGGAGTCAGAAGTATCTGCATACAAAACCCATGTGTGTTCTTCCTATATAGCCATTTACTGTGTTCATCTTTCAAAGCCAGTTTCCCATCTGTAAAATGGGGCATGAACAAGTCAACGTACTGGAAAGTTTTAGCGCCCAATTGACTGAAAATATGTTATAATAGCTCTTGTTACCTGGAAGAACTAGAGAGACCTTCTGGCTGTGGTACGTACAGAATATGGGGGGCTCTTTCCAAGCATGTCACTCGAAGCAATGCTGGTGGGAGGGAATACACCATTATCCTGACCTAGACTTTGACAACTTCTGCACATAACTGGGCGCATACAGCATCCCCACTGTACCCATATCCTGCTTACCTGCAGCAGGCCCTGCATGGGTTACAGGAGGATTGTCTACCTGGATGAAGATGATACTTTTTACTCTAGACAGCATGCACTGTGTGAAGGGAGAGAGATTACTATGAGATGGCAAATGGAATTACTGCCACATGAAGGTCCAGGTGTCAGGCTGTGGGGAGAAAAGGATTCCATCATTTGGGGGACTGTGGTTCTTTGATTTCTAGCTAGGGCAAATCAGCTGTCTGGAGTCCGAGTTCCAGAAGCAAAGAAAGTAGATGGAGAGGAGGGGTTGCTCTGTTTTTCAGTTTTTCTCATGGAGTCATCAATGAGGGGGACAGACCCTGGAGAGAGCTTAGCCAGCAGGATGGGCTCCTGGTGATCACAAATTCCAGGGCTGAGCTTAGATTCAATGCCAACTGGGCACCTGTGCCTGGGAAGTCATCCTAGGCAGCCCACAATTTCAGCAGGAAATGTTTGTCATCTGCTCCAAATGGAAGCTTTCCTCAACTTGCTGATTGAAACTGTAAAACATTTGACTCCTGCCAGAATACTATAAAAGACTCTCTAGCAAACTTTAAAAAAAAAATGAAAAGAATAGATATTAAAAAGAAATGAAATCAGCAAATTTTACTCATTCCAAGAAACAACCTTGCTCCCCTCCCCCACCTTCTTCCCTCCAGCGAGTGGCTTCTTGTTGCTGATGATTGATAGGTGACCCTCTGTCATTGTGTTCTTTAAAGAACATCACCAATGCCCGATATCGGAGGACCCAAATATAATTTGAAATAGCCACAGCAGCCTGCAAGTTGAACGTTAGTCCAGAAATGACAACCAACAAATAGTATCTACTAATATTCCTCTGAAATGGCTTTGGGGACAGGGAGGGGGGCCGAGCCAGCTAGACAGTGTGAGTTTATCCAGGACCTCGAGGAGATGGATGGGGCGGCGATATCGACAGCTCTCCAGCTTATCGCCACTGACTCAATGGTCAAGAATTCAAAAATCTCACTGTGAAATTCATTTAACTTCTTCAGACACTGGCCCCAATTGACGGCCAACTTCCCAGAGTCCTGCCTGTGTACAAGGAGTGCTATCAATGTAAATAAAGCATGGTCCCCCATTTTTAAAAGAGCCATTTCTTTTCACTGACAGATTTCCTCATCTTTTTTTTATCTAACATCTCTGCCCACACCTGTACAAACCTCTGTTTCTGCTCACGTCAGGGAAATGCCTTGTGAGTGTGGGCTCAGCGCTGCGAGCTGAGATGGCGCTGAAGGACCCCTGGGTGCCTGTCTGCTGCCTGGGTCGGGGTCTTGGGGAGAAGCTGTGTTGAGCCAGGCCTGATCTCCCAGCTGCAAGAATAGAGTCCCCAGGTGGTTTTAAGACCCTTTGAGCAGGGGCCTCGCCCTGGAAGTTATTTTCTGAAGTCCACCTGGGTGCTTGTTCAGCATGTGTGGTGCTGAGTCTCTGTCCCCAAGGAATTTATCATTCCAATGGAGATGCAACACACACATAGGCAGGACTACCGTGGGCAGTACACAGTGGCTTATAACTGCCCCGCACTTGATCATATATAGCCTGGTGCTGTTTTTATTCTGTGAATCTAATTTATACCTTTAATAGAATGTGAGGTACTCCAGGGTTTGGACTCTGTCTTGATTCAATGACCATTGGTTGCATGCTTAGTATCCGCCTGGCGCTGTGTTGGGGAATGTGGGGTGGGGGTATAGATAAAGAGCACTGTGAGAATCTCGTAGGTTACCAGGACAGGTTGATGTGTGGGTACCAGGAATTACAATGCAGTGTGGTGGTACTAGGAAGAGGTCCAGCACAGAGGGATTTGCTGCCTGAGGAAGGTTCCCCTAGAGGCAGTGGTATGTGACTTTGGTCTTGAATAGTCAGAAGCGCATTCATTCTAAGCCTCAGAGGAAGGGGCTGAAAAGCAGCATCCCGGGGAGAGGGAACAGTGCTCCCAGGTATAGAGCATGAAAAAGCGTGTTGTGTTTTGGGATCAACAAAATTTTTGGTCTGGCTGGAGTATAAGAGTGTCTGTGTGGTTTGGGGGTTAGGGGTGGAGAGAGGCAGGAGATGAGATTAAAG